TTGAAACTCGTAGACAAAAGTTAGATGTGACGATCTTAGATAGAAAAGTCTCTAGCACTGATGGAGTTACGCTTTATTTGGCTCCTTCATATCACCAATCGTCCGTTTACATCAAAAGCACATGTTTATATATATGCAGCCAGGAGAGATAATAAAAAGGAGAGAAAAGTCAAAAAGAGCAGAGTCAAGGAGAGCGAGTTGGTTCACAATACATAGTTAAAATAGAAAGAAGAATAAAGTATATGATAAGAAGAGATGATATGGGAAGATTAAACATCATGTATGAACAATCAATTCCACAAGGTCTTGAGAGTAGAAAATGGTGCACAATAGACGCAATCGGGAACGCCACATTAGATTTCGATGGAAACCGCGTTTCCGTCATATTGTGAGTGCGCCTAAGCTGTCTATATCACACATATCGATTGTTGCCGCTCAGTTCTCGAATTTGATTATTTATTAAAGAGCCCGCCACAAAACTAGTCATTCGCTGGAAGGCTGAATCAATTGGAAAAACTATGACGCCATCTAACACAATATATTGTGGAATGTTTAAATCAACCAGTTTCAGTTGAATCGCTCTCTTCAAGACTGAAAATATTATTTGAATAGGTAAATTATAAAAAGCTTTATGAAAAAAGAAGCAAGTCGTCTGAACCACCGGTTCTTTCTCGAACCGCGGTCAACTCTTGTTTTTTATGCAAACCTCACAGCATGTGTTGCTATCCATTATTCATGTGAAAATGTTTTAGTACAAAATAATGCAAAGAGTTTAGAACAAAGATTTTTTCTACGTTTTAGTTCAACTTTTGTTTCTTTGCTGTATCCATTCCAAATGGTACTTTTTTATTTTGTTGTTTTTTTACTTTTGTCTTCATTATCATCTTATAATGTAAGAATTTGTATATCACAATTAACATCAACTTTTGTTGATTCTGGTACAATTGTTTTCGTATCTAATGATGTTGTTTCAGTACTTTCATTAATTAATTCAAGATTTGTTTGAAATGTTCCCATTGATTTACTATGAAANTCGATTTTTCTTTTTGCAAAGATAATCTGTGATATCTTCAATAGACTTTACTTACGAAGTGTTTTAATTGGATTATGTCAGTTTTATATTACGTACTAATTATTTTGACCACCTAAAAAAAGCACGTTTATAATGAAAAACTTCACATGAAATTTTGACGTATCTTATAGGGTATGAAAATCCATGATAAGAAATCTGATTGTATGAATTAATAGTCTTTTATGGGTCCTATCAAAGAGATCATAATTATTCTATTTTATTCATTCTTTTTTTTTAAATAATTATCTGACTAAAGATGTGCACGATCAAAAAATTAAAGATGCACTGGGTTCGGAGCAGAACTATGAGGCAAATAGTTGTTCGAATAGAAACTAAAAATTGTAGCTAAGTTTTTCATAATTTTTAGCGACTTATGTTATAAGTCACATCAATCAAAGCAAAATTCAGAAGAAATGACAAAAAAAGAGGTGATATTCATTGGCTGAATTTGATCAAAATATAAGTACTTAAAATTTTTAGATGTCATGCGGATAAATTCTGAAAGAAATTTCTCTAAAAAAAAGAAAATCACAAACTGTTCAACTCCTTTTTAGTCAAAATCTAATGTCTTACAGGTAATCGGCCATGCTGATTTCGAATGTCAACATGAGTCTTGCCGCTAGACATCCAACGATTCAGTTTTCTATAGTGAAAAACATTTATCATCAAAAAATGTTTTTGATCTACCCAGCTTTTAGAGTGCTTCAAGTTAAGTATAAAAAACATTTTTTTTTTCGAAATTTGCACCAATACAGAAAAGACTAGACAAGTAGCAAGTTTGTATTGCTTCAACTTCCATAGGTTTTTCATACTATTAGATATTACTGTGTCTAATACGTATTGCTATTACACTGCACTATGCTCTGTCATTATATTTAGACATCTATAACACACTTTGTAGCTTGTCAAAGAACTCCAAATTCAAGTATTTCGATATCCAATGACGAACAAAATGTCGCAAGAACTTTATCCCACTCAAAGTTATCTTTAGATTAAAAAGGATATAAGATGCGGATGGGGGTAAAACGTTTATTCCGTCCACACCCACCTTTTTGCTTGAGTGACAAGTGAAGTGGAATCTAAACTTAAGATCGCATTAATTTAATCCGACAGACATTTTACAATATTGACAGGATTCATACACGCTAAAGTTTCTCACGAAGCGAAATAGTAAGAACATAATCACTACTAAAATAAATACAAAGTACCTATTTGCCTGATAATGATAAACTGGCTTTGTCAGAAAAACGAAAGGACAAGTTATAATAATATGACTTAATATAGATCAAAAGTTGAATGGAAAATTTGAAAATGTATCAAGTCACATTTAAAATAAAGTTAGAAATAAAAGATAGAATATAAATGTCGGAAGAAAAGTGTGAGAGATAAAAAGAATTAAAGCATTTTACTCCTCTAGTCTTCTCTATAATGGTTCAAATTTTGAATAAAAAAAGTCTTTTATACTCAAATCGAGGCGCTCTACAAACTAGACAGATAAAAAATGTTTTTTGCTGTAAAACAAAAGGGGTCTTTGAAGGCTTAGCGACAAAAATCACGCTAATATTCGAAATCAGCATGGTCAATTACTTATAATCTACTAGGTTTCGGCTAAAAAACGATTGAAAAGTTGATGACTTTCCTTCACCAGTAAATATTTAAATACTAAATTTCAATTTATAGTAGATTAAAACCTTTCTTGAATAAACAACGTCGGATCCTTTAAAGAGTGTTCATATATGGGAGATGTCATATATTTTACTACGAAATAAAAAAAGTTTCAGAATATAAGCTTCTTTACTAGTTTTGAAGTAATTAGAGACAATTCTTTGTATTGTTCATCTTTCTTCATTTGAATATTGATGAGCCTAAAAGTTTGTCAAAAAAATTCAAAACTGTGCCCTGTTTCGTAAAGCATCATATTATTGTTTCGATCGCAATATATATAAATTTGATAAACGTTGCGGTATAATTCATCAAGTTTTACTACATTCAAACTTTTGAATTTGTCGTTTAATACTTTTATTTTGGTTTGTTTGATAATTATTTAAATATTCTTATTATTTTCGTTTTAGCATATTGAATACACAGGAGCAAGTGAAATATTCGATTTTGTCGTTAATTCATATTGTGATGAGCTAATACCACTGCAGTTATCATTGATTTCCCTAGCATCAACAGTAGTGTTCTACACGCATATGACTTTTCGCAGTCGGGTCCGAATAGCTATACTTCGTACTTGATCGGAGCTAATCAATATCTGGGAGATACTTTCACAACCATAGTACGTTTTTCAAACTTTTATTTTATACAAAAAAGGAATATTATTTTGTTTCTTCCATAAACAACAACTACAAAAAGCAAATGATTCAGGTTTCGCTTGTTATCTTTCTGCTTCTAAAAACCGATCAATTTGACTAAGTATATGTTTGCTTGTTGCTGATGACGCTGGAATAGAACACAGTTATAATGCCAAACGTCATAATTATGGACACCTACACAAATGTTTTTTTTTTCATCCAGACAATACATGTTTACTTTTTTGATAAATCATTTTCCTCTCCATGTAGTTAGTTACTTTGTTCTATGGTTTATCATGATGTGTAGATGACTTTTCATTACAAATGAATTCTTTCAGTAAAACAATATCGCTGTCTACTTCTATGATCTATTCTCAAGTACAATCAACTACCCAATCATGATCGAACCAGTTTTTACTTCTATAATTTTATATACATTAGTAATTTGCAAAAATAAACATATCTTAAAGTGTCAAGATCTCATTAATTCTCGAATTGGGTTTAGGTGTCGAGCATCCAACTCAATTACAGGACACTGATATACAGCTTTAACAACACAACGAACAGTAATGGTGGAGAATAAAAGAAATTGTACGTGTATTCATTTAAAAGATCAACTGCGACAGTATAAACAATATTCCAGCTCAGAATAGAAAACCATTTACCTATGAGAAATACATTTCCAACAAAAACCATTTCATATCATTAAGAGCTTGTTCAAAATACGAGATATTCACTTTATATAAATAAATAATTAAAAAGTTTTGAAAAAAACTTTCTTTTGAAAAGAATTGATTATTCATGTAAACTTGTATTTTAGAATGTTAATCTATATTAATTATATTCCTAGAGAAGTTTTAACTTAACATGATTCTCTTCCATAAATAAAAACCAATGTATAAAAAATTTGATTTCTTCAATTTTATTCAATTATATAAACATAAGTTTTGAATATAATAAAAAAAAATGAATATTAGTGTATAACATCTCTTTATTATTATTTTTTCTAAATTTTCCAAGAAAATTAAAACATCCATTCATTATTTCGAATATCTGCGAGAAAAAAAAAGATACTTTCATAGTTTTGTTTTAAAAGACAGAAAAAAAAAGAAGTCTTTCATTTTTTGTTTGTTTACATTGTCGTTAATGTTCTTTTACTTGTCTTTATACATACAAGAAGAACGAACACATAAAAGAAAAAGAAAGAAATTCGACAAAGACACCGAGCAATAAGACGAGAAAAAAAAGGGAAAGAAAGAAATATTGAATAACATTTACAAACCAAACGAATATAGTATCAAAGATAACGGAGACCGTATCTATTGATATGCACATTACTAGGGAATAAACGTTAATTTATCAATCGTATACAGAGGACAAGAAAAAATAAATAACAAATTTTATTAACGTACAGGTGAATATATGTTTTTCTGTTTAGTTTTTTTCACTGTATACATAGACATTCGAAATTTGAAGAATATTTTGATATATTCGTTTAGTAGTGTACAAAGAATCTAATGGAATAAATACGTAAATAAACCAAGAAAAGGAGAAAACGAGAGAGAAAGACATGCAGCTATTAAACAGAAACGTGAAGTAATAAAAAAAGAAAGAAGAAGAAAAACAAAATTTTAATCAACACCTTCGAATGCTTCACTCATTTCCATAGCTTGAATTAATTTTTGACGTAAATCTGAATAATGTTCATACGGTGGAAGATCAAGACGATTGAAACTTTAAAAGAAACGAAGAAACAAAACTTTCTTTTATCAATTTATGAAATAAAAAAAAATAGATAACAAACCACGTATGAGCACGAGGTAATTTTGTTTGATCACCCCATTTTTCAATGGTAAATAATTGTGGGCCAGTTGAACCCCATAATTCACGAAAACCATTCATTGGTAATCTAGATGTTCCAGTTACGAATTGAAGTAAACGAGTACGTTCTTCTGGCTTAAGTGATCCAATAGCCTAGAAAAATATTTATTAAATAATTTATAATTAGTCATTTGAATTTGAATCTTAAAATAGTTATTTATCAGTTTCATGTCAATAGATTTTCTCATGAAGGTATCGTTTCTATTAATCAGCAGCTTTGTTTTTAACGAAAGCTACTGGATTTTTCGGTTATCAATCATGCTGATATTCCCGAGTAACAAACTTTATGACAAAAACTTTTTTTCTGATGTGTCATGATTATAGAGCACATTTCAATGCTTAGAGAACAGTACCTTTTGTCATTTCAAATCGTTATTTGTTGACGAAAATACAGTCATTTTGATTCATATAAATGTTTCAATGTGAAAATCTTTAAAATGTTACGATTTTACTTAGAACGTATTTTTGAAGAATAGATGAAAAGTGGTTCTGACAAAAAGTTTATTAGTTTGGAAAATCAGCATATGAAGATCTAAGAGGATTTTTCTTGCTTATATTCGGAATCAGTGTAACCGATAACTTATAATACGATAGTTTTCGATGAGAAAACGATTGATCCGTTGAAGCTGTTCCATCGTCAGTTGAATTTCGATATAAAAATTTTGGTATTAATAGTTTATAATTAATTGTATGAGAGAATATTGTCAAGTCTTCAGCATGATAACACTTGAACAGTATGACAACAAGTATAACTCATCTCTTTTAAAATGAACACTAATGTTTTCAACGTTATAAACCATCATCTGTCTTACTTTCGTTTTGCTTCATTCTTTTTAAGAATTTAAATCTATAAGGTTTAGCATAGTACATCTGATACAGAGTTGGAACCATGTCGAGCAGTTTGACAATTGAGCTTTAAAAAACTGTCAAATGTTTTATCAATTTTTCAGGGCACTGAAGTTCGTCTATTTTACTCGTTTTTATCGATTTCCACAGCTTTAAACATAAAAAAACGATGGGTATGAAAGTCTCCAACTGGCAAACTTATAGTCATCATCACAATTCCAGCTCTAAATGTTGAGCTCATGGGTTCCCATCGTATGAAAAAGTCATCGGATTATGCCTAATGCGTTTATTATCATAGCAAGAAGTTAACCAGCCATTAAAAGTAAAATTTCGTCCAAGATAAAGATTTTTCATCTCGAAATTTTTGAGATTACTTTTAACCGACTATCAGAAACTCCCAATGGCTAGTAGTTATTAGTTCATTTTTTTGTTACAAAAGTATGAGCAAAGATTTTGTTCTATTGAGAATCTGATGCTGCCAACAACTAGAATCATACAATTGCGAAAATAACTAGGTATTAAGAAATCTAAATACTTAATGTCTAATATAAAAATCGTACTTCATAGTTTATTTTATCTTCCTATTGACAATAGTATTCGTATGGCAATTGAAAAGTCATTACTTGTCTTGAAAAATGATTTCAAATACGAATAAATCAAACTTATTAATTCTTGTGAAGACATTATATCTTTACTGTAGAAAATCAGGCAAAACAAACTAAGTCGTGCAAATGGCGGTTCGTCTGCTTAATGCTTTGTTGTATCTCACTGCATGAATATTTTAAAACTCTTTGAAAAACATCACATTTTGGTCGGACTCGTATCTCAAAACACTTGTGAGTGCACTCATGCTACCTGTACGAGTCATATCGAATGTTTTCGAGTTTGATTATGTATTAAAGATGTCGCCATAAAATAGTCATTACTTAGAAAATTTAACCAATAGGGAAAAGTATGATAAATAATATATTGTGACATATCAAAATCAATGTTTTCCAGGAACAATCGATCTCTTCAAGACAGAAGATATAACATAGGAAGTATTAGTATATATGCAATGTAACAAAGTAAACACTTGATGTTACTATTAGAAACTCAAATAGTTGTATGAGTTTCACATGGTATGTCTTCGTAGAAATGTACTAATAAGCTTTCCTCGCAAGAACTAGTTGATTAATTGATATATTAAATTGACCAGTTAGACCAAAATGTTTAGTCGAACGGTTCGATCCGATCAAAAAAAAAAGTTCTACCGGTTTCAACTATAATCAGATAGCTAAATATACTCTTTCTCTCTCTCTTTCTTGTTAATCTTCATTATTTACCTTCCAAAAGTTTTGTATAACAGGATTATCAGGTGTATAACCACCTTTATACATTGTATGCATTCGCCAATCATTAACATTAATATCTCCAAGACCACTTATTAGAAGCTAGAATAAAATATTTAACAAAAATAAAATTCATTTTTTCTATTTCATACTTCAACTTCTTTTTCATCGAAGATTTTAATAGTTTCAAGTGGAAGTATATCTTGAAAACCTTGCTTTAATGCATTCATTTGTAATGCTATTCGTTGTACAAATCGATAATTAATAACCAACCTAATTAATAATGAACATATATATGTATTAAAATTCAATATATTTATTTACTCAATATATTCTTGTTTATTTTGTTCATTTACTTGTATATGTTGACCACCAGGCTTAAGTTCATGTTCACGTAACTATAATAACAAAACAAGTCATATATATATATATATATATATATCTAAAACAAATAATATCAAATAACTTACATCGCCAAGTACTTCTTCACTAACAACAAAATAAAGATCTAAATCTGTTGGATCATTATCAAGAATATATTTCAATGATTGATAATATTCTCGATCGACTGATTCCATATCAGCAAGTGTTATAGATTTTGATAATAACATTTTATAGAATGGGCGAATAAAAAATGCTTAAAAATAGAAAAAAAAAATTATTTTATAAAATAAAACAAAAATAAATAAACCTTCAAGTAATTTTCCATGATATACAGCTAAAGCAATAATACGTCCAATAAAACGAAAATATTTTATATGTTCTTCATTTAATAAACCAGATAATGGATTAACTTGTAGTGTATAATTATCACTAATATAAATAGAGAAATTTATCAGATAGTTTACACAAGAAGAAAAAAGAGATAAAATTCAATGAATTATTTACATAGCACTATATTCAAATAGACCGTAATAAGGATTAAATATTTCACGTGAAAGAATTAAAAACCATTCACGACTTAAACCACCATAATCTAAACCTCGTTCACCATCAAATACAATCCAAAGCCTTTAAGAAAATAATATTCAACAAAAATTTTAAAAAAAGAACAAAAATTTTTACCTTGTTTTCAATACTTCAGTATCTTTAATGCTCATTATAACACGAAATGATGTTTCCATAACATCTTTACGATTAACATGTATTTCAACTTGTGAACCAACATGAGATTTAGGTCGAAGTAAACTACGACGAAATGCAATATATTTTGCTGCATAATCACGTGAATATGGAACAGCCTAAAAAGATTAAATAAATCGAGAACAAGAAAATTTTTTTTTTGTTTCGCACTAATGAACTTTTTCTTGAATCATACGAAATTGTTTTTTAGTTAAACTTTCATTCTCATTATTATTCTAATCGATATAGACAAATAACTCTCAACTAACAAGTAGAATTCATCGAGTCCAAAAATTTTTGGACTCAAATCTGAATCTAATGGGTTCTACTAAGAATATACTGAGTTCTTTCCTTAAGGAAGTTCCTCTCAGAAATAAACTTTTTTATTTTTTATCTGGACATTCACGAGTTATGTTCAATTCATTGATCAAAAGTATTGTTTGCGCGAGGAGGGTTTTTCGAATTATAGGTCGTGATAAAGCCCAATTTTTGAATTTCCATTTGTTTGTTTTTAAAAAATAACTTTTTCGAAAGATTCTCAAATTCGTAGCTAGAACATTCGTTCATTCAAATCAAAGATGGAAGCTTTTTATGACAGTAAAAGAGAAGTTCAAAAGTCCGACTCGATTACGACTTAGCCCTAAACGTCTGTTGTGTAATAAAAAAAGATTACCGCTAGTATATTGAGTTGTGATTAAGAAATATGCTCTTTATGTAAACGGTATACTCGAAAAAATTGATTTTGAGAAAGAAAAACAATGTTTTGGACTTAGTAAATGTGTCTATTCGAAAGAAGTCTGATCATATTACCTAGTATTTTTGCACTATTCATCAAGCTTTATTAGATAGCTTATATATCGTAATCCTCTGAGAAGTACATATCATGTCAAAGTTGTGATTATGGTTCCTTATACATTGATGTGAGTGAGGTTGAGACCATTATTTTACCTCCAAGCACATTCTTCAAAAATGCACAATTAATTCAACGTTATCGAAACCTATCTGTAATTAACTTTCGCGCTACAAACGTTTTCATACATCCAACTATCACCAACAAACTTCTCCAAAAGAGAAAAGTTTCATTTGAAAAAATAGATTCTTTAAGAGAGATCGATTAATTGATTGAAATAAGATCAAATGTAATTAGTTCATAAGATGACGAAGAGAATGGAAGATTGATTTTAGTTTCTCTTTAGATAAAAAAAAATAAAGAACTCTAGAGTCCTTCATTTGTCCAAACTCTGTTCTTTTTTTCTGTTTAGACACGGTTGTCAAAACTTCGAGCTAGTTCTTATCATCAGATGAGACAGAGAGAAGGTTTTTCAATCAACAACTAATAGAAACCTAGAAAAAAAAAATTCTATAGCTCAGAACGTCACTTCTGTGAATGATTATCAGTTCTCTGCAGAACCTTTAAAAAGATTCCTGGAAAGCTTAACCCCTTATGTGGCGTCGCTATTAGTACTACTTCTGAAATAATATTAGGATCCGTTTAGTGTCAGATTTTTCAATTTCAATTAAATAGATCAAGTTTTTTTTCATCATACGTACTGGTCCAGCAACACGTGGATCTGTCCAAGTTGTTGTTTTATTCACTGAAAATAAATCAATCTTATAAAATTCGATGGAAAACATCGGTTCTTACAATGATCAATATAATACACACGACCATCAGGTAATGTTCGAACTTCCCAATGTTCCTAAAAATAATCGAATGAATAATCGACTTCTGATTCTTTTCCAATCTTGTTTTTCTTACTGGTAATGGCGCATTTGGATTGAGTTCACGTTGAGTTGATGGTATAGGACTTGGTTTACCGGTTCGAGGATCAATCTTAACGATAAAAACAAGATCATAATTAGTTAGAAAATAGGTTTTTGTTTCTTCTTTTTTTTCTTACCCAAGTTGTTCGTTTATTAATATGATCAATAAAAAATGCACGTTCATTTTCTGTTTTTGACATTTGCCAACCAGGTGGTAGTGGACCAAGATCATCTGTTGAAGCACTAGCTGTTGCAGTACGTGAAGCTTTTGTTGGACCTGTAGTTACATTTGTTCGCGCATTATTAGCATCCATATCATCAATTTGATGTCGATCGCCAACTTGTTGTGGTCGTTGGGATGCAGCAGTACTGATAATAACCAAAAAATAAAACAAAATGAAATTCATCAAAAGAGAAAACAAACTTACCTTCGTCCATTTGGACGAGTCCATGTTGTTGTACGATTATTATGATCAACATAATAAGTTCGACCATGACCATCCTGCCGTTCTATTAAAGACAGTCAAATATTAATAAACAAAAAAGAAAACAGAAGATTTCAGTTCATACGTTCCCATCCTGGTGGTAATGGTGTTTCAGCAACTGCAGCAGTTGGTTCAACTGTATCTTCACGATTAACAATTTCAAACCCAGACTACCGACAAAAATTTTTATTTATTTATCTCAAAGCAAAAGAAAATTATCTTACTTCATTAGCCTGTGTATTTTCATTTTCAGGTAAATTTGTTCCTGTCACTGATGGGTTTGGATTAATATAACATAATCCAATTGTTACACTACCACGAACACGTTGAAGAATGCTAAAATTTCTATTTTAAAAAATTATTCATTTTTTTGGAGCATTTTTACTTTCGCTTCAATAATGGATAATCTCTTGTTAACATTGATTGGCCAGGTGATTCATATGGAATATTTAAATTCAATTCAACAACAAACATACCAAGAAAATCATCTTTTGTCTTCAAAGACGACAAGAAGAAAGTTTTCGATTTTATTTAAAATAATTAAAATGTTCTATACATACAATTTTATTTTGATCATATACTTCAAATAGAAATCGATGTTTAGTTGGATCAACCTAATAATCACAAAAAAAAAATAATGTTTTCGTTTTTCTTTTTAATTATATCTTCTATACTCGGAAAGTAAAATCTTGATTCCACAATGGATTTTGTGTTTTTGGTATTGTACGTGTAACAGCAATATCTACTGTTTGATTACGATTTTCACGTGTTTGAAGTAAAATTTTTACATATGGATCATTTGATCCACCAAGAAAATCTCGCCGTTGTAAATCAACTCCTCGTAAAATTTTAATACGTAGTAAACGTGTATTACGTTCGGATGCATCAGCACCAAAAATTTTCTCTCTTGATGGTGTATCAGACATATATGTGTTGGTAAATATGTGAACTAAAAAAAAAAAATAAACAAATATGACTACAATTTAGCAGACTATTCGTCAGTAGTGATAATCATTTTTAAATGACACAATATAAATATAAGAAACAAAACAAAAAGTAATCATAGATATGTTAATACTAGAAACAACGAAGAAGAAAACGATGCGACAAATAAGAACTAAAAAAGAGTTATATCGTAAAGTACACAAGTGCAAGAAACCGACAAAAAAAGAATACGAGTAGATTTTTAACTTTTTTTTTTTTTAATGAAATGTCCATATGTTTAACCAATCAGAATAATAAGTGAGAATAGTTGTCGCTAGTTAACAAAGATAAAAAAAGAAATAATCTTCTTTTGGTTTGTTCGCAATGTTATATTGATGAATTGAAAATAAAGATGATATGATTGTTAATGGAAGCAATTATAAAAGTAAATGAAAAAGAAAATATGAAAGTGACATAACTTACATTTTTAATAATAAATATTTGTTTACTTGTCTTACAGAAAGAAAAAAAATATTCTTTTGAAAAAATTCTTGACGAACACAGCTAAATTTTTAAGGTTGAATGGCAATGAATGAGTTAATAAATATGAAATAATAACTTGACAGATGAATTAGTTTTGAGTTAAAAGCTACTTTTTTCTTTGCTAACCGAAGTTATTTTTTATTCGAATGTATACGTATGTAAAAGTCTCAAGTTTATTTGACTTTCTATAAAGTATTGAGTTTTCCTTTTTTGTGTAGATTTGCTTGAAGGTAAATAGAATTGAGGAGGCTCTGAGAGAAGAATTGGACATGAAGGGTTTCATTATTCTCTCCCACTCCTGATCATCACTCTTAGCACCTAGAGAATGGCAGCACGTCCTGCTGAAGTTTTAGCCTTGCTTACCTCTAAAAAGTATCGACAACGCTGAAGAAGAATCTGGCGATAGTATTCGGCCGTAACCACGTGGAGCTGGCGGTTGAATTCCTGCTTCACAGTTCCTATGATTTTCCTGAGTTTTCTAGTCAAAAACGATCCATATTTCTTGACCTGGGAAATTTTAAAAAAACAAAAAAAAACTTTACATGGTGCAGTTGATTTTGCTGTAAGATTATGTTTGCTTTAAAAGAGGGAAGAAGCTACATTCCTTAAATAAAATATACCATTGGAAAAATACCAAGAGTGCAATTATTTAAAACCTGTGCGTTACATATTCGGGGGAGATGATCATCAAAGGTGATATTTTTTCGAATGAATAGATCAAAAAGTGACTATTTAACAAAGTTTTCGATTGAATACAAATAAGTTGGGAGATAGTTTTCTTTAAGCCGGAAGGAGATCGAAGTTGGTACTTGAAAAATTTAAATTACGGGACCCAAATCAGAATAACTGGGATTATACACGAGGCGTGATTATGTGACTGAGGGTAACAGAAGACCTTCATTCTCTGACACTCACGCACTCTTGTTATCAACATGTATCAAACATCACTGACCATAGTACGTGCAATGCAAAAATTGTAAAGAAATCAGACCAAATATATGACTATTTCAGGACGAAGAATCTTAAATTTGGATCTTGTCGGATGTCGAATCCGATAGTAGGATATACTTAGCACCCGATGAAGTCATGCTGAATTTACATCTGGATATTAGACATTGTTTGACCTTCTCGTTATCATTGCTCTACCTCTACTCAATTTCTCTCGTAAAAGTAGTTGAAATTTAACAACTTAAATATCCTTCATGTTAACTTATTATTATATTCAATTGTTGAAAAGTAAATTTAAAATAAAGAAAGAAAATAGAATCAATAACTTTTGATTGGTTTCGTGCCGTAATATAATCAAAAATAAAAATAAAGTAAAATAATTTATACTTCCTGTTCGTTGAGTTGTGTAGCTTCTATTCTCACCGTTAACAGCCGCTCAGGAACGTGACTTAGGTTAGTGAAAAATAGTTTTGTGTCGTCATAAATGCTATTACAAATATGCTTTACATATTCTCTAGTACTCATAAAAACCAAAACTAGATACTTAAATACCATTTGATTTCTTTGGATTCGAGAAGTCTCCACTGTCGAAATCATTGAATCCTGTCAACGAAATCTAATGGTATACGATAATTAGAAACAGCCGAAAATTGAAGGATATTGATGGTTTCAGACTGCCAGATAGTTCAGGAATTCTATCAGATCCGACAGGGTAACATAGTAGATCTGAGGCAGCTTCTTCGTCCTCTTCTGTCCTGATTGGCGACAATACAGAACGAAAATTTTACTTCTGTTCTGTGGAGTCATCAGCTCTGACAACAACTATTTAATAAACTATATGTCTTATTGACAAAAATACATTTTTTAATCGTTTTTAGGTATAATACATGCAGAATACGTTATGAAATTTTACCAGCATATATTCTGATTCCAAAAATCCATCATGTCTAATAGAAGAGTTATTATTTTAATAGTCAATGAGTATTTTCATCATAATTGACTCAATGTCTCTGCATCATGGTTCCACTTGGGATATAACAATCCCATCTCATCCAATGGGATGCAACAAATAGCTCACAGATTTCATAGGACAAACATATTCTATAAAAATTTTTTTTTTTTTATATTAAGAACAAAATCGTTTCGAAACAGATGTCTTTCTTGCGTGCGTATTCGAGTGAAATGAGTAAGAAATTAAATTGTTTTTCTATTCTGTAAATGGTTAAGTACTGTAACCATTAGGATGCAATAAAACAAATAACAATTAATCAACATATAAAGTAACAATGCAGTTCGTTCTTTTGTACAGATAGTAACAGATGTTTCGATTCTGCTGTGACTTACAGTTGATACTGTATCTTACAATGTTTTGTCGTCTGTTGTTCAAGGTCAATCTGATCAACTTGATTAAATAAGCTTCGTCACTGTTGCGTTTTCTTCTATAATCACTTTATCCTTACCTTCTTGTGTTGATTCTCCATGAGCTTTTTGTGAGTTTACAACTGAATGAATTACTCGCCTACTAGAAAAATAGGTTTATCGACCAACTCATTAAAGCCACAAAGAATAGATTATCTTTGATATGTTGACAAGTTTTTAGTTTTTCAGCTAAGGAATCTCATATAAAACAAGGATTTGAACCGATTTCAGATTTTGTCAATTGTCAATCATTTTTTCAATAATATGCATTTAAACCGAGTTCTGGTACACAAGTATTCGACGCCCGTAATTGTGTTCAAAAGTTATCTCCTAACACAAGATAAAGCTCTTCATTGATAGGTGATGATGGAACTAAAATGAAATTAGAAATAGTTCACATTCATAGAGATAATGATATGTATTATTTCATTGTGAAAATAATTAAAAGACATGTGAACTTGGTTATGATAAAATGATGAGATACAAAATGAAAGAATATAAAATTTGATAGTATTAATGGAAACGATAGATGTGTACAGCATTTTTTTAAACAGATATTTGATGAGTGTGAAGTCTCATGATACTATATTTTTTTCATCTCATCTCACGCGGAGCCCTGCTCTGCATCATCTTAATAAACCTTTCAATCATTGCTAACAACCTAATACCTATCTTTTGTAAGAACACCGAGAAAATTTTGCATATCACAATGACTAAAATGTCAAACAATTGATATGAGATCATATGTATATTATGAATTAGATTATTCTATTTGGATTTTTAGGAAAAAAAACGTTGCCATTTTCAGATTATTGGACTTTTTGTAACTTTTTATGCAATAGAAATAGATTGAATAAAAAAGATATTTTATTTTAAAAAATGTAAAAAACAAATGAAAAACGATTATCAAATTAAAATTTAAAATCAATATTTCATCAATATATCACTATTAAATATTCATTCAAAGTTAATACGTGTACCATGTGTTTTTGGAATATCATTATTAATAGAAAAATTTGATTTTAAATTTAATCGATTCCAAACTTCGACCTCATCATTTTCATCTGGATATTTTGGATCACTAAAACCATTTATATGATGTCGTCCAGCTCCATGAATAAAAACACGAATTTGTTGTCGTTTAGTGATAGCCACAATTAAAAGTATCATTATTAGAAGAAAGAAACTAGTAAAAACGACTAATTGCATCTTGCTAAATGATGAATCAGAAGATGATTTGTGGTGTTTATGATGTTTAGTTGTACGATCGGTTGGTTTCAAGCTACTACTATCACTGCTACCACTACTCATGAATGAGGTACGATGTGTTGCTTGAGGCATTGTTGAACGTCGATATTCTTCCAATGCTCCACCTGAATTATTACTAGTAAATATATATGGATATTGTTCTGTAGGACAAGTTAATGTTTCATTTATATGCCAAAACCATTGTTTAGCACCAACAGGTTCAAGCATATTATTCCAAAGTGAAAGTGCAGCTTGTGAATGACCTTTGCCTAAAACAAAACACAAAGAAAAAATAATCATAAAATATATTCTTATGTGATATAAAACTTACCGCTAAAATGGAAACAATCTGGCGCAAAATAACTGAAATCGACTTCTTGATTACTTTTTAATGGTATTTTAGTTTTTGCCATGAATGGTTGAATAACAACAGTAAAATCCTCACGTTTATCATAACGACCTGAATTAACTAAATCAATAAGTAGTTGATGATATTGTGGTATATAATCATCTAAGATTTTAGCTTGTTCTGCTGTTGGAAAAGCAGCACATGGACATGTCCGTTTATGAAGTGTTTGACAAACAAAACCACCACTATTAAGTTCTTTTACACCACGAACATCAAGTACAAGGACAAGATTAATAAATGTACGTGGTAATGGTGCTTCATATAATTTATCAAGTGTATCGCGTACATAACTTACATATTGTTCTGGTGTATGTTTTCTTATATTTGGATCTTCACAAAAGCTACATAAATCATTACCCTAAATAAAATTATAAAGAAAAAACGATGATTAAATTAAATTAAGAAAATATTAATTTACGCCAATAAAAATTGTAATAACTTTCCAATCATTATTCCAATCACATAATTTTTCATTTTTCATTCGACTCATGAGTAATTCAGCTTGATAAGGCATATGGTTTGAGCGATCACCCGATTTAGCTAAACAAATAAGTATCGCCTTGTCCAAAAAAACCTCTCTTTTGAATAAATAAATAAATACTTACCGACATTGAGTCGATTATTTGTAGCATTTTGACCATTAAGAAATATAACTGATACTTTTGTAGAGAAACCTCCAAGTGCCGGATTATATTGTCGTAGAACATTGGGTACTGAGAGAACTTTGGAGTACGTAAAATCTCCACCCACCGACCAAGATATACCTATAGAAACAAGCCCAAACAATATTATGCAAAATAGAAAAAAAACGTCTAACCTCGATGTTCAAGTAATAAACCAACTGGAGTAAGTGCTTGAGCACCTAGCCCAGCTGTTAAACTATCGCCTATGGCACCAACACATTTAACATCACTTGGCCGAAGTCTATGTACTGATGTTGGAACATTAGAGTCTTTTGTAATAGGACATGGAAAATTTTCACGTGGGCTACCATAAAGATAATCTGGTTGAGAAAAAAGTTTGAATGACCATGCAGCATATTCTTCAAGAAACTTTTCATCTTGACTAAGTTCCTCAATATAATTTTTATAATTATCCACATCAAGAGCACAACTTTTGCCGGTAAAGAATAGGAGAAAAACGAAAGTAACAGTGATGAATTTCATCATTGTTGTTGTTTTCAAAGTTATCGCTGTTGAATACTTTGACTCTGTGTATTGATATAAATGAAACAACGAAAATATAATCTTTTCTATTCGACTATGATAAATAGATAAGAAAAATAGTGCTGATAATGATGATGATTTGACAAAAATTATCTTTGTGTAATTATGTATAGGTAAGAGGTTGCGACTATACGAAAAGTATGTTGATAAAAGTATTAAAAAAACAAGTAAAAGCTGATGAAAGAAAATAAAAGGTGTCACTTGCACGTGAAACTTCATGTTATATCAAAAAAAGATGCTCAGTTTAAATTGGAAAGTTCTAGATTTGTTTTTTCTTGATCTCATGAAAGAATAATGTTAAATTTCTGGTGTGAAAGCAGAGACCGAAACGGGGCAGTGATTCCGGGCGAGGAAGGTTTGCGACGAGGACGAAACGGGACGGAGCTGAAGTTAGATCTCTGAGATTCCCCGTGATAATGCTTCACAATATTAATATCCATATATAAACCGAAGATAGGATCAATTATTTTTTAATCTATTTGTCAGTTAACTCGATACAGTTTAAATAAATGTTCAGACATGTAAAACTAGAAAATTGAAAGAGAGAATATTTCCAAGTGTATATATTAGAAATAGATAAAATGTTTGAAGTATGACGAACGAGTTGAAATGGAATTTGTATAGTGTTACCTATTCTTAGTATGGTTTTAATAATATCTTTTCAGATTTCGTTTGATGCGGTTGCAGAGATTTCTATTTCAGTTCAAGTCAAATATTCCAAAATATGAACCAACCCCATCACTGATATAGATCATGTATCTGAATAATCGTTGTTATTGCTGATGATAAAAATCTCAGCATTACCGAGTACTATCTGCTCAATATGTTCGTGCAGATAAAAAAAATTTTCTGCTAAAGGTACAGTTTCTGTTGTATTCTATGTTTATCATTGATGATAAATAAACAATGTATGTGGCCGAGGTAATAGATGGCTGTCGATAGATTGTTTTTTCTTAAATTACATCGCATCTAAAATGTTGCTTAATCTTAATGGTGGTGCTGCTAACCTCCCCGGAAAATTATCACAGTTGTTCCTCAAAATGCTTCAACAATAGGACTAAGACTTCTTTCGTGTCCTCCCGACCAAAAATCATGGCGCAGTTACTAATTCAAGTACTATAATATAGAGAGCATTGTGTAGAATTTATTTATATGTTTATTTTTAAACAGGCTTTTTCATTTCTCTACAGTATCGATATTGTTTGATGCAAAGAAAACATCTACTGATAAGTATTTGCCTGAAATCGTATGGCATTATATTTACTTAGTAGCTTTCCATACTTTTTCAAAAAACTACCAAAAGGAAAGAAGCACATTAATTTCATAGGGACAAAGCAAAATTTTTCTACAAGACTCTTTTTTATCAAAAGTACATACTAAATATACTGAATTATCAAATCTTTACACATTTTAATGTCAACGAAAATATTTAAGTTTGGTTATTCAGTTAGAAAAGAAGCATTACTCTAGTGAAGAAGTAAACCTTGTGAAGCTTGAAGTTATGCGTCTGATTATGCAGAAAGTATTACTTTTATCAGTATAACGCAGGACAAAACTACTGAACAAAAGTCTCAATTCGTGGGCTGAGAGCGCATTGATACTGTTTTTCAGTTTTTCACGAAGAGACGATCATAAGTGTATAAACCTAACGACACAACAAGACTCATAAAGAAATTTTACATGTGTTACAATAAGAAAGAAATTTCTAAACTTCATCAGACTTGGAAAAGTTGGTTTTTAAGCGGTTATAATTTTGTAGTTGAGCAGTTAACGATTGTCTGGTATTCAATAATTTTGATGTAACAAAGAAAGACTTAAGAGGGAAGGTCCCCAACTTAAGGATGCCGTTCGACTCCATATTATGGCTACAAGGTATGTTTCTATGAGACTAAGAAAATCCTAGAATGATTCGTCCCCATGGACTATTGGTGAAGAGTTATGACTGTTTTACTGAATTTTGGGCCTGTGGCAAGGATTTTCCGAAAAAATCGAATTAAATAATTTCGACCCGAAATTTTGCCCATAGATCGATCCAATGGTTATTAGAATTATCTGGAAGTTTCAGCGAAAATGAATGTTTCTTTCTCAAGATATTGAATTGTCAAACAAACTCGATTTTTTGTGACCTGTCTGTGAAAACTGACTATTTTTTGACAATTCAATATCTCGAGAAAGAAACATTCGTTTTCGCTGAAACTTTCAGACAATTCTAATGACCATCAGACCTATTTATGGGCAAAATTTCAGGCCAAAATTCTTCAATTCGATTTTTTCGGAAATTCCTAGCCACACATCACAGGCCCAAAATCCAGTAAACGCTCATAACTCTTCACCAATAGGCTATGGGGACGAACCCTTTTAGGATTTTCTTAGTCTCATAAAAACCTACCTTATAGCATAATATGGAGTCAAACGGCGTCCTTAAGTTGAGGACCTTCCCTCATTAGTACTAATGTAAAAGAGAGTATGCCAATAAACTATAAAATTAATTTTATATAATTTAACATTAGCTCGAAATATTTTGGCTGTATAACTTGATAATAGCAGTCCATCAAACGCTATCAATATCCTCTACTGCATACATTACTAGCGTTATATTTTCATCAACATTTCATACAGCTACTACGATCAAACGCTAACTCAAAAATCAGAATTTTATTGTGCTTACTTGTATTAAAGTCAGGAATTGATTTCACTGAAGTAATTAATATTGCTTCATTTTTGCAGGCATACGAAAAAATTGCTGTATATGTGTTGAAATTAGCATGCCACATATACTAAAAGTCATGCAACTCAGCTGTTATTGAAAGAAAGTTATCGGTAGGAGGTGAAGTTATCAATGGAAGATTTTGTCAAGATCTAACAGCTGTCAACAATATTACAAGTTATGTAGGATAAAGCATGTCAAAGAAAACGACGGGTTGATCTCGAATTATTTTCTTCTCATGCTCTAATGTATTTTTCAATATATAGTGCAACAAATCATATGACGGAAATATATACATATCTCAGCAATACGTGATGATGTTGTGAGGAAAAAAATTGAGTCGGGAAGGGGCCGCGTAAAAAGAATTAAGGTCGGATCGGGGCGAGGCTGGGAGTCAACAATGTTCCCCATTTCGGCCTCTAATATATATATAGTAAAGTCTCTCTAATATGGGCATCATCGGAATTGGTCAAAAGTGCTCATCATACGAATGTGCTTATTTTTGAAAGATTTCCAGTTTCTTTTTTACAATCTTTAAGTATTGTGTTGTAATCGCTTGTTAGTTATACACGGTATTATTTTTCTTCTTTTCAATAACTAATTAATTGAACTTTTTTAATCAGAAGTGAATCAACTCGTGTTGACATGATTTGATGTTACTAACTGCTAGCACAAAAACTATAAGATGTTGAACCAAACACCGTTGCTCTTGTCCAATATTGTTCATTTTTTCTTTTAACTATTCACAGGTAGTTCATCTCCTTTTCCTACGCATTCTATGATTGTTTCTAATAACGCAATACATATAATATCATTTTTTCTCTTTCTGTACATAAGTAATAAAACATACATTACTCACATCACAGAAGTTGTTATTACGCATGGGACCAGAAGTAAACACTCACTACGTAGGTGGAGAAGATGCGCACATTTGAGGGACTCAATCCTAGCAAAATTCACTTGAACGGAATATAGACTGTCCTGTATAGGGAGGTTCTCACATTGAGAGGTTTTACTATATAAACTATATTTTCGAATGTTTATTTGTAATTTATTCAATTGCTAAAACTTTAAAAGAATTTCAGATGTCTTTTTAATCAAAGCTTTTCCCGACTAAATTCATCCCACTGTTTATCTATGTTGTCTGCTAATTATTTATTTTCATATCGATACTTATTAAGAAAAATATAGATCTTAATTTGATATTGAGTAATAACACTCTACCAGGCTAAAGAAATCATTTGTTTCTAAGTTACATCTGAATTCATAGTCAGCATCACATTGTTACAAATTGACTATGAAGTATATTTGAAGACTGAAGATTTACATCGATCGTGCTTTCTCAATACATGTGTGCATAACCATGGATGTTTCGAAGTCACCAGAATTGGAAGGAGGTCAGATGAGCACAAAATACTAAAACATTGGAAGTCTGCTGGAAAAAAAATGAAAACTTTTCAAGATACAGATGGTCACACACCCCTCTTGCCCATTCGGAATATCCCTGCCTGTAGCTTATATCGAACATAGGATTTTAAAGTATAATGAGTATTTTGCTTTGTAAGAAGTTGTGATTTCGTTATAAATTGGTGCATAACTTCAATGAATAAAAATCTTGTTTTTGTTTTCATCCAACAGTCATATCAAGGACAAACATTGAAGTCGATATATCCAGACTTCTGTTATAAATAATAAATTCAATTAAATCACTATCTGATTATTTAACGTGATAAAAGAGAAAATATTGAGTTTCAGTTAGTAGAATAAAAATTTCCCTGAGTAAATCCTTTTCATTTAGATGAAGTAATATAACAAAATTTGTATAACAAGATAATGTTGCTTGCTAATGTTTTAAGTTTCAGTCTGTGTTTTTTCTCGTAATGAATCAATCCTTTTCTTAAAATCATCACACACATAACTTGTAACACACCCTATACTTTCTTGTTGTTCTTATATCGTTAAAATTATTTACAAGCTCAATCAATATATCTATTACAACCTGATAATTATTCAACATTTTCCACCAATCTATTAGCATGATACTTGTATCCGACTATTTATTATCATCAACATGAGGCTTCTATGCACTATTCAAATAAAAAATTTCTTCTTATTTTTTTTCTTTCATATGAGTCTTGATAATCAATGTTATTTTCAGTATACGTCTCTTTATTCTCGCAGATTCTTTTTTTTTTCTATTCTAAAAGCAAACACCTGAAGAAAAATAATACAGAAAAAAGAATCCCAAATAAATTTCACGATATAAGAGAAAGTTAAGCAAGGAGTATATAAAAAAATATTTACCTTTAGGTCGTCTTTATAAAAGCATGCACAATCGTATTGAAATAACAAAAAATATAGCATCATGTCTTCTGCACACGAAGCTGCAAATGCTTTGCCTTCAAATTTTGATGTGAACGGTTTGACGAATGCATTTAGCAATCCAATACAAGCATTTCGTATGTTAGATAAAAATAATGATGGTCGTGTAACAAAAGAAGATTTACAATTATTATTACAACAATTTGGTATTAATGGCATGGCAGCTAAAGTTTTATCAAAATATATATTTAAACAATTAGATGCTAATGGTAATGGTACAATTGAACCAAGCGATCTTGTACATGCTAATGGCATACTTTCAAAGCTATTAAAAACAAAACAAGGCGGTGGAGCTTATTAGAAATAAAGAAACTAAGTTGAATTGATTTTGTTGATTGATTTATCTGTATATAGTAAAAAAATCACCTTCTTCAGTTCGTTTTTTCTTTCTTGTCATGAAATTTGAAATATTATCCATATTCTAGAGTACAAAACATAAAACCATAAGAGAATAAAGTTAATCATTTGATCTTCGTATTAAATTCTATAGCTATCGATCAAGTTTTAAGTATGAATGGATATCTGTTTCGTATTACTTTTTAGTAAAAAAAAAAAAAGAAGTTATTATCAAAAAATCAACTTCAGTTACTAATAAGATTTATTTAGCAAACGTTTGGGGTTTGCTTTGAATAAAAAGAAAACTGGACTGCTGATTGCAACTGAAGTCTACAATATTCGAGTAAATCACGTAGACAATATGTCATTGATATGACCTTGCAAATATTGTGTTAGCAAGCTTTTTCTTGAGCGTTTGTTTGATTACTTTTCATAGAAATTCAGCATACCATAATATTCTAAAAATAAAATTATGTTCAATATCAATATGTATCTTCGGCAACTAAAATTTGATCAAAATTTGATAGAAAAATTCATATGATGTAAATAGAATACAATTAGACAAATTGTTTTTATTACAGAGAAGTATCTTTAAATGAGTAATAGCAAATGGCAAAATATTAATAATTACTTTTAACATAGACAGTTTGTTCTTTCACTTTACAGAAAAAACATTCTGAGATGTATTATTTTAAATTTCTAGAGTAAATACGAACTTTGTGCAAAGAAAACATGCTATCAGATTGTTGATAGTTCATTCCTTTTTTTTCCTTGCTTCATTCATACGTTGACGACGTGCTTCTGGATGACTCATTAGTTTCATATTCGATTCAATTTCAGTTTCTTTTTTATTAATTTTATTAGAATGATGATTATTAGTATTATATAATTTCGGATATCGTATAAAACAATTTTGCATTTTCATAAATTCTATCATACATTCAGAACCTGAAAGAATATCAAATAACTATTGCACATGAATAATTTAAAGTACAACAAACTTCAATACTCAAGACGTCATGCCAAGAAAAGTATAATCAATATTGTATTTCATATAAATCATTACTTACATTATTAAATCAACAATAAGTAAAACGCTTTAATTTTCGTAGATGTTTTCGTATAATTCCCTTTATGACTTCTTCAGGGAACATTAATAAAAAAATTATTAAATTCTTTTTGAGGAAAATTCAAAGTACGGCGAAATCTCAAATGAAATCATACTTTAGTTGTGACCTTTCCTTTTTTTTATACATCGAAATTTGTCGCACGTGTCAAACTTGAAAGTTGATTTCAATTACTCAAGAACTAAAAAAAACAACTCGTCCACATAGTTAATCGTCTATATTTGTGTTGTGACTTACGAACCTGTAGCGTCTTTCCTTGAAGAGCCGCAAAGTCTATTCTTATTTAATGTTTTGTCATGACTGATAAGACCGTACAGGTTCGGATCTGTGGAAAAAGACTTATAGAAAGGGCGTAAAGTTAAACGGACCAAGAGAGTTTTTTGCATCTTTTCCAGCCGAAGCGATTAACTGGATGGACTCGATTTTTTGCATGCGTTTACCTTTTGGTTCTTTGTTACTACTTTGATAACATGAAAATGCAGCACGAAATTGACTCGAACAAGGTCCAATAGCTTGTGTACCCAAACATGGACAATCCCATAAAATAGTTCCATTAGATTGAACAGCACCTTCATTTAAATTCTCATTATATATATCAATCCATAATTGTTTTATATATAAATCATTTTCATTTGGTGTTATGATATTTTTATCAGCAAAAATAATTTTATGTTGTTCATAATTATTAGTTCGATTTCTAGTTTCACTAATTGGCATAATATAATTTCTTATAATATATCAAAATAATAATGCGCTCTTTTTAAATCATATGATTTTTTAAATGATGAAAAAATTAATATATCAAAATCAACAATGTCAATTATTATTTAATAATAATGAAATAGAACATTATCAAAAGCTTTATGATTCATTAAATCACAAACAATTGAATAATGACAAATTAATTTCAGCAGTAAATATAAACGAGAAAAAACCGATGATGAAAAATACAAGTGGCAATGATTGGGATACAACAATTCATCGAATTAATAAACATTCTTACATAGTTTCTATTGATAAATTACAACTAGAAAAAGAATTTCATTCAGAAAAATCAACATTAAAAGATATTCATACAGAACTTATACATAATCGAGAAAATCTTTTGACAAGTCAAGGATTTATTCATATAAAAGAATATGCTCTTGACGGTTATGAATGTCGATGTCATGAACATAAAGATGCATTAACTGATGACGAGATTAATAATAAAAAACATTTAATTGATTATAAACTAGAATTTTAGTGTTATACTACATTATCTAATTTTTATATTTTTCAAACAAGAATAAACATGGTAACCAAGAAAAACTTGTCTTAATAATGGCAACAACCTTTTTGTCATATTATTTCTTTTTCACTTTGTTTTTTGTATTTTTTTGCTGTTATTTGAATCGAATTCAAAAACTTCCTTGTTCTTTTCAATATCATTTGTTTACCGATTTATAATCCAATGAAAAAATAAATGTCTGAGTTCTTTTATTTTGTTTCTGCACAGTTTTTCTATAACATAAGTGTTTCATTTTCATTCTCCTGCATTAAAAAAACATGTCTCGAGAGTACTTTTCTAAGTTTTTTCTTCTATCTAGTTGTTGTTTTTTTGTCATAGATATATTTTAAATTTACTAATGTATTTTTAGCGTAAAGTCATAGACAAAAATTCATAGGTTTACTCGAACGTAATCTACGAAAAATAGCAAATAGTTATTTCAATAGTCCTCAGCATATGTTACAAAGCTGACATAGAAATGTTCTTTTAACCTTTCATCAACTATTGGCGACTGGAATTGCCAATTTTGTAAACATTACAGAAAATGCAGAACGCATGATATAAAAAACTCTTCACACATTGTGTGTAAAGAATTCCTTAAGGTATTAATTGACAAAAAAAATGTTTTTCATCATCGATCTTTCTTCAAAATATATGACTTGCAAAAGAGATGACTATAAGATTAGTAAAAAAATGACCTATTTTCTTTTAATTGTTTTCTTGTGACCCATGAGGAATATCTATGTCGAGGATATGCTACGTGATAAATATCGACGAAAATGGCTGCTATTTGAATGAAATATATTTCAAAATTTTCACATGAATTAGTTGATCAAGAAATTGTACGATATAAAATAGAGACTGAAGTATCATTGCAATAATAACATGAAAAAAATACTTGAAAACTCTCGTCTAAACGTTATACTTGTTAACATATACACATGAATAAGTAAACAGATTGCTGCTATTAATAAATACAAACATTATTTGTTACTATGTAAATCCTTCGTGTGGATTTTATTCATACTGTTGAATTTAAACAATAGCTGTACTTTTGCAAAATCAATGAGCTATTAACAAAGATAAAAATAGAGTTTTTCATATCGCTACCACGCCAATTGCAACTAGAGTTGTCAAACTATTCTGTACACAGAAAAGTGCATCTGGTCAATTTGGTATACTATTAGCCTAGTGAAGAGGTCAATACACTATTTCAATAGTCGTGTCATTAGAGACTTTTCTAGAACCATTATGGAGGCCGAAGTGTTAAGTTCAGTTATTTGAGGTTTTATTCCATGAGCCATGTTTCTACAATGTACTGAGTTTTAAGCTACCTCTAATGTCTTGTCAATTCTTCACTATTTAATAACTATGAAAAACTGTTTTGGTATATTATTGGATACAATATTTAATAGGCTATGTTCTGGTTAAAACTACTTTGTAAATATAACTATTTATAATTAATTAATGATAATTATACCAAAGTAATATTAATCAATAGTTATAGAAAAAATTCTGTTGTAACGTTTTACTTTTAAGTATATCAGTCAAAACAGCCTTGAAAATTGTACAGAACTTTATATTACCTGTGTCGAAACAATTGGTTTTAATAAAATAATAATCAAGTTAGTAAATTTTACTACCGTACTGTTTTGTTATTTTATTATAGTTGAATTGTATAAAGCAACTTGAAAACTTGAGTTTTAGTGTATTTTATAGAGCAGACTTTATACTTTTGAATAAGACCTAGTTTTCATGCATGTCATGGACTTTTCAGTTGGCATAATGATTGTAACTTGGTACAGCGTCCTATGAAAGAGAGACAGTTAGAAAATATCACCCAAAATTGTTCACCAGAAGTAAAGTTGTTTTATCGACTGAAGAGCGCATGACATAGATGAGAGTCAGATTGCATTCAAAACTGTTAAGTTTGCACAGTAGAATACACTAAAGTTCAAGTTTTGAAACTACTTTATAGAGATCATTCGTACTAAAACAACAGTGCCGTATAGCAATGAAATTTACTACATTGATTACTGTCATACTAAAACGAATAGCTTCGANAAAATTGTTCACCAGAAGTAAAGTTGTTTTATCGACTGAAGAGCGCATGACATAGATGAGAGTCAGATTGCATTCAAAACTGTTAAGTTTGCACAGTAGAATACACTAAAGTTCAAGTTTTGAAACTACTTTATAGAGATCATTCGTACTAAAACAACAGTGCCGTATAGCAATGAAATTTACTACATTGATTACTGTCATACTAAAACGAATAGCTTCGACACAACTAATATTCAGTTCTGCTCAGTTTTCAGACTCTTTCGAATGATATATTTAACAGTAAAAAGTAAAAACGAAATTGTTCTATAATTATTAATTATTACTAATTAGGTCATGAAGAATAATGATACTTAAAAATTAGTTTTTATCAAAATATAGCCGATTCAATTATGCATTGAGTCATATATAACAGAGCATTTAGTGATTATTGAATAGCAAAAATTGATAAGATATCAAAAGTGTCTCAAAATTTAGTGCATTGTAGCAAAGCGGCTCATGGAATCAAAACTCAGATAACTGTATGATGCCTTATTTCAATTTTTGAAAGCTGTTTTCACTTTCTCTTGATGGAAGTTTACAAGGTATAGGAGGTAATGGAGGCATAGAAGGTAATGAAGGTCTAGGAGGTAATGAAGGTATTGAAGGTATTGAAGGTGTAGAAGGTAATGAAGGTCTAGGAGGTAATGAAGGTATTGAAGGTATTGAAGGTGTAGGAGGTAATGAAGATATAGGAGGTAATGAAGGTATAGAAGGCATAGGAGGTATTGAAGGTATAGGAGGTAATGGAGGTATCGAAGGTAATGGAGATGTAGGAGGTATGGGAGGTAATGAGAGGAAGTTAAATTCAATCCTTCCATAAGCCTACAAATATTTACTGACGGTGGTAAGCGCTTTTCATCCCTAATCGACCTTTCATATCAGCGCCACAGTGTTGGGACGATAAGTGCCACCCGACAAGCCGCTACCCACGCACGTCTCTGTGTACAAAGTAATTGAAGTGTGTCATGTTTGCATTACCTCCATTAACTCCTATATCTCCTATACGTTGATCAAGAAAAAGTGGAAACACCTTTCGAACATTCAAATAAGCCGTCTAGCCTGCATTCAATGAATATATTCAAATGCACAACATAGATGGTTTTATGTAATTTTAGAAATTTAACAATAGATTATTAGGCATAAAAATATTCTTAATTGCTTTATTTTAATAGTTATTACAACATATTCTTTCCGTCTTCACCGATATGATATTACTGCTATTCAATCGTTATTGTTTCTTTATCGATCAAAGATAGATGATATTTGTTTTCATCAACTGATTTCATTCATCTTTAGTTTCTTATTTGATTTATCATTATCTCAATTCTCTTCTAAAATACAGAATTCTATAAATAATGATTGGACTTCGTCATGTGTTGATGTTGCCCATGCTATGCGTATTGTTGTTTGTCTCCTTTTTATATCTCAACATATCTGGAACTTCCATCACCGTATACGTTAACACATGCTTTCCTATTTTAAATAAAGATACTACACGAAAATTTCCTATCCAACATAATATCTCATTATATACACAATATTGTACTTCAATTGAAGCTAAACGTCAAGGTGAACAATATAGTCTAATACGCTCTCGTTCACCTGATTGGTCATCATGTTATACAGATGATTTTTTACTTCAGCTCTATTTAGCCGATTTAGATATGTTTAATGATAAGAACATGTTATTTTTCGATGTTGGTGCAAATAAAGGATATACAATTGTTACTTGGTTGTCACTTTGGATGCCACATCTCGGTATTAATCCTCAAGTTTTAGAAGATTATTTGCGAACCAAACTGAATTTATTTGATTGTGGTATATGTGGTGACTGTCAAAAAGAAGGTTTTTTAAAGTTTAACTCTAGTGTCCGTATTAAGAAGACTATTGAAATCTATGCATTTGAACCGCAACCAACAACATATGAAATACTGACACAAGTAAAAACATGGATGAATGCATCATTTCTGTACACATATCAACTTGCGTTAGGTAATCAAAGTGGAATTGGTGCTTTACGAAAATGTCCTCCA